TGTATATATGTGTGTGTACGTGTGTGTATGTATGCACGTCTAACAAGAATTATAAGATAATACTGATCCCCAAGTAAGGCGGTGCGGGCCACTAATATACACCAAGGATAATTGTACAGTACCTCGGCTCACTGGTACATGCATACACGACAAGGCACATATATGGTACATAATATATATATATACACACATATACACACTCACGATATACACATGTACATCTGTCTGCACATATTGTTACTTGAACTTTTCCACCTCGCCTAGATTGAGCAGCCTGATGGCAGCTACCTGCGCGACTACAAGTGTGTGGCCGCCGTCGCGGCAATGGCACAGGCTCAATTCCGAAAGTTTTGGATGTCGCACTTTGGACACTGGACCCCGAAGCCGAGCTACGTAGTGGGAACCCCGCCACTAGGCTCGCAGTCATGATAGGATGTGCTCTCGCTGTTACATGTATGTACATGTGCACGATCTAAGGCCATATCTGTCCGAAATCCCGACTCGCAAGCCACAAACTCCTAGACGAGCTGACCCCGTGGTGAGGAAGGTCAAAGGGGGCAAGAAAAAGGTGACCCTCGTACGAAAAAAGGCGATTTCCCAAACATACCTATATTTATTTAATAAATCCTGAAATAGCTAGATTCTCAATCCTGGCCTGGTCATACCCAGGACAGGCAAGCGACACGTGCTGAAGATTTCTGGCCACTACCCGGTACCCTTCTGCGACTTCATTGCTGACAGCCACACTGCATACTTGGCCGCTCGTTTTCGAAACTGCTGCAGAGAGCCAGGGAGACTATGGGCCCCGATCGATTAAATATTTCATTCGCTGCCCCTCTCAACCCGAATCTCAGACCCCAAAGCCACACCCCAAAAATGCCAATTTTCCTGTTGGGGTCTCTACAATTGCCCGTAAATCTCCAAAGTCCAAGCCAGCCTTCAAAGAACCTGCAGCAGCCTTTCAGGCATCAATATAGCTATGATAACGACTATGCTGTAATAGCACAGCAGTCATGCACCAACATAGAATGGACTGAAGATAGCATGTAAGTATGCTACTCAATAAATCATGCTATAATTATACCGGTAGTATGTATAAACACAACTAATATAATAAACTAAACTTGATCCTAAACGCCAACAAGCCTTACACCTAAAAAAAAACCTGTGAGCCTCCTGTGCACCCAACTGCCCCTACAATTAAATGGCTCCACCCCAGGGGCTCAGGGAACAAAGGCTTCACGTGTTGTGCACTATGCTGCTACACGGCCTTGGTTAACATGGCACAGGCATCTTCACCAAAGTAATTTCTGGTTCTATCACGAACTAGCTATGCATTCGAACTCCCGATACCCCATGTACAAAACACCCTTTAAGCTATAATCGTACACAGGATTTCCAGGAGTTTGGGATGTTTGGTGTCTACTAATAAACTATGTATGCATGACCCTGCTGCTCCAGAGGTTTCCAGTGGCGCACCCCCCGTGCTGCCGCAGCCAGTCGACGACGTCATGGAGCCTGATCTGGAGCCCCGGTTTTGCGGGATTGTATGGTAGGGTCAGAAAGTAGAGGGCTGTAGAAGTCTAGGATTCTGGGAACAACGGCAGTGTATTATCTAGGCTTGCATCTGAGGATATGAGCTTTGAATGGAGTGATGCGATGCTGTCTCCCATTGCTGAGTTTCTTATAGAAGAAGCCCGGCTGCAGCGTTTTGATCCCAAGGCATTTATGCCACATCTTCCAGTGCTAACACTGCTCCAGGAGGAAGCAGATCGCTACCGGGCTCGATAGGTATGACCCCGATCTTCTAAGACTGGAAAGGAGCCAAGCTAAAAAAGTCGGATCAGGGGGCCAGTTAATGCACTTGGGGCTTAGAGGGACGAGGACAGCCAAGTTTCAGGGACCATTCCTGCTGCTTTTAGGGTTTGAAGCCCTCGAATTGGTTTTGAAAGGCCTCTTGAATCCCTGCCGAGAGCCCCAAAGCCCCGCGTGATTTCGCGTGATTTCGCGTGATTTCCATTGTTCCGCTGATTGGTTTCCTATTATAATTTAATAGAGAGCCACACAGAGCCCCGCGTGATTTCGCGTGATTTTGCGTGATCGCTGTTGTCGGTGGGCGCCCGGCTGGAGGTTTTTCATACGGTGGTAGCATTTTGGAGGGTTCCTGGTTCCCGCGGGCCATGGACAGCCACGAGGATCCGCTGAAGAAGGCTCTATAAGTGTCCAGTCATGATGTACAACGCATCCCCCTAGCTGGATATATGCGTTTACGTGTGCAGGCGGCACAGAGAGCGTTGGAGGCTGCCGAGAGACGCCGGAGGCTCGCTGCAAACATCGCTCCTGAGACACCGGGTCCAGGAACAGATGCGGGCGGTGGCAAAAGGACTCGGCCGATGAAGGATATCACAGTTAACGAGACCCCGACTTGCAAGACGCCGAATCCAAAGCATAGCAAAAACACCGAATGTGCCACGACCCCTGCTGTGGATCCGAAGCAGCAGACTCCTGTGGTGAACACTCCGAACCAGCAGACCCCTGTGGTGAACACTCCGAACAAGAAGCTTTTCGCCACGCCGGCGAAGGGTGGCACGTCTCAATATGACATGCCTGGGATGCAACTAGGGCAGTGTAACTATTCAGGGATGTGGGGTCCAGGGGTGCAGGGTTTAGAGGTGCAGGGCAGGGTTTCAGTTGGCGCGGGCTACCTTAAAAGAGTACATGTTATGATTAGTAGGTACAACAATGGAACTCTAAACCCTAAACCCTAAAGCCCTAAAATCTTAGACCCCGCGGCAGCCTAAATTAATCTGTTCACGAGGCTGCAGTGTGGATTCCCTCGAGATGCCGACCCCGGACGTTGTGGCCCGAGTGGCTTGGCTGATCCGATCTCATGATATCATTTTAAAACAATTCTCAAAAAAAAGATCGCTTTAGCCTTCGGGGTCCCAGGCCAGAGAATTGCACAATGATCTGATGGCCTCGACTCTAGCTGACACCCTGGTGGATGATGGTGCCGAAGCTATCGAGCTGCAACAAAAGATTGATGCGGATCTCGCGAATCTCAGCTTGGAGGACTTGGTGATTCGGGTTTTTGTTGCTTATAAGGGTTCGAGGGAGATGTGTTGTGCATGTCAGGTACAACTAATTGGGGCCCAAGCTGAACTAGCTACGAATGAGAAACACCAGGTAGATTCTACTTCCGAATTCGCCTAAACATCCTTGGCTCCTTGAGGCGCAATCAACCGGAGTACCGAAATAGTTCTAGGATAATGCTATTGTAGAGTTGACAGTTCCAATTACCCAAACAATCCACTTTTGAACCCTTACCAGCTCCCCTGTGTGTATATTATTATTATTATATATATATATACATGTATCCTAAAAAACCCTAAACCCTATATATTAATTCTGGCTAAAAATCTAAATCTCACAAATCCACTCTCGGCCTCTCGGCCTAGTTTGTCACCCCAACCCCTAGCTAACCCTGAACCTCCTTATACAGCAGCTACACAGCTAGTTGTGCGATAATATTTCAACCTAGGATGCCCCACATCCCCGATCTCCAAGCCCAGGACCCTGTAAACTTTAAACCCTAAAACCCTGAACCCTAAACCTTAAACCCCGTACACCCTCAACTCCCTTGTGCCCAGCTCCAGGACGACGCCAAGACCCCGCAGTCCAGCAACCTTGGCTCGGGGCCGACCGCAGTACAGGTTGAGGGATCTGCGGTCACTGACAATGCTGCTTCTGCCCTCATGGCGCTGTGTAATGTGCTTCAGCAAAATCCTGGGGAGATTCAGAAAGCCTTGCTACGCCCTGGGACTGTGGAGTTCGAAGCAATAGCTGCTGCCGTGAAGCAGGCTAAAGAACTGGAGGTTCAGCAGGCTGTAGCACAGCAAGGCAGCACTCAGCAAGCACCGCAGGGCAGCACTGAGAAAGCACCGCAGGGCAGCAGTGAGAAAGCACCGCAGGGCAGCAGTGAGAAAGCACCGCAGAGCAGCAGTGGGGGAGCACCGACGCCGCAACCTAGTGTGGCACCGGCGTCGCAGGCCATGGATAACTATCTAGACTCGGTCTATGCCAAAAGCCATCGCTGCGACTCCAAGTCCCCGCCCGGAATGAGAAACGCAGCACCGCAGGAGATGGAGGTCGAGCCAAAAGCCCCCCAAGCGCCGCAGCCGCCAAAGCCGATCACGGGAACCTCGAACCAAGGAACACCTATGGAGGTCGAGCCAAAAGCCCCCCAAGAGCCACAGACCCCAAAGCCGATCACGGGAACCTCGAACCAAGGAGTCGAGCCAAAAGGCCCCCAAGAGCCACAGCTGCCAAAGCCGATCACGGGAACCTCGAACCAAGGAGCTATGGAGGTCGAGCCAACAGCCCCCCAAAAGCCACAGCTGCCAGAGCCGATCGCAGGAGCCCCGAACATCGCACAAGCATCAGCAGCGCAGCAGCAACAGCAGCAGCAAGAGATGCAGCAGATGCCTCCACCTTCCCAAGTTCCCGTGAAAATGCAAACTGAATCCATTCCTGCCTTGCCCCCTAGCAGTGCTCCCTCAACCCCTGGCCCCAGTGATGTTGACGACGATCCAGAACTTAGTGCTCTTGCAGATGTGGCACACCAGCTGAAGGACCTCAAATCTAAATCGCTATTTACCCGAATCTATGGACCTCGTTTGCTGGCAGGAAGCTGCCCGGAAGACCAGGATGCGGTTCTTGCGATCCTTCGAAAGCACCCCGCGGCAATGAGGGGGACATAATTAATTATATAATAATAAACCCTAAAACCCCACACCCTAAACCCCTGAATGATTGCAATTGCAGCCTAGGCAAGAAGTGCCCAGCGGTTGTTCTCGAACAATGGAACAAGGCAACGAACTCTGGCGGGCCCCGAGGATGCTAGATGTGCAATTATATTGCCATAAGTTTTGAAACTCCATATCAATTAATACGGGTCCCGTGAATCTAAGATCCTGGAGCAGTCGATCGCTTGTTTCGCGAGTACATTATGGCTGGCGAGTCGTGGGGATGCTCGCGGGTGGTTGCGGTGCACAAAATCGTCAGCTCGTACTCGGCCGAAGGCGTCTACGTCTGGATTAACAGACAGGACTAGTTAGGGTTTAGGGTTTTAGG